ATCAGCGCTCCCTTGATGCCACAGGGGCACTTGGGCTTGTGCTACACTATCTTAGCTCCACTATGCATACTATCAGCCTACAGCAGATCTTTGCTATCATCCCCAGTACCATCACTTGATACCTTCACTTTGGTCTTAAGCTTCTCCTATGCACCCTCCACACTCTAACAGATGCCAAAATTCAATGGCTGGCAGGCTTAGACTTCGAGCGCTGTAGCACACTTGTTGTGGCCTGTCATGGGAGACTTGAAGGGGCATTTGGTAGTATTGATGGTCTCAAACTACCAGTGCAAACGTCAGATGATGTCGACATCGAGAATGTGACGTTTAATGGGTGGCTCTCAGAGCACTTTATCAGTTCTGTATTAGCTTTTTCAGCTGAAGGTAAGTTCGATGCAGTGTCCTGCTCTAGCCTTGATCAACAACATTACAGGGGTGATTATTGCTGCAAGGCTGAATGCCCCAGGCAGTTGGCACAACTCATGTCTCGCTCATCAAATCTACGCCTCTCTTCGCAATGATACTCCCCCTGGTTATTATATTGTCGCTGACACGGCATTCCCACATGGCAGCAATGACATACAGGGCCGAATCTGCGCACCTCTGAAACAAGGCCAATGTGTTCAAGGCTCACTTGCTGAGATTGATGAACAGATGGCATTTAATCGTGAACTGCTTTCATACCAGCAGACTGCTGAATGGGAGATGCGTGGTTTTCAAGGTGCTTTTGGAAGATTGCGTGTACCACTTGAAATTGCCAACAAAGACTCACAGGGTGATCTCATCGAAATCTGTGTTCGTTTGCACAATCTGCGTGCAATCCATGTCGGCATCAATCGAATATGGACAGTGTACCTCAAACATTGGCAGGAGACGCTTGATGACATTGCTGTGTGGCATGATTTTGAGAACATGTTGTTTTCAGAGCAAAGGCAGAAAGATCGTGTTACACGTTTTCATGTCACGCTAGAGTACGAGTAGCTCAAGAATTTGATTAAAGAACTGGACTACAACAATGAAATGACATATGTTTATCTGTATAAGCTGTGCAAGTACCTTTAGCAAGAGAAGTGAGAAATGTATCTAAGCTGTGTGAGTGCCTTTAGTGAGAGAAGCGAGAAACGATACCTTATTGATATAAGCTGCATGAGTGCCTTTAGTGAGAGAAGCAAGAAATGATACCTTATCTATCTAAGCTGTGTGAGTGCCTTTAGTGAGAGAAGTGAGAAATTACACCTCTGGTGTTTGACAGTGAGCCGACTTGCTCATTGGCAAGTCATCCACATCATCCTCCTCACTCTTGATGTCTGTATGCACTTGGGTCTGTTCCCTATTAGAATGAATGACGACAGAATTGCATGGGCGCCCTGCACCATGTGAACAGGGTCTGGATGCCCAGCGGCAGTAGGCAAAGCAAGGAGAAGGAGTGGTATTGAAAGGAGGAGGAGTAGGATGCATATATTGAGGAGATGTTGGAGGATGGTCTGAAGCATCTGATGCTGGGGTCTCTGGATCACTGTGCCAGATGACACTTTGACCTCCATCAGGGTAATAAGTATAGTCCGCATATTTTGGTTTTGGTTTGCACTGGTGATGAGATTTGGGAGCAGCTTGGTTGGGAGTAGGCTGGTGAACTTGTGCCATCTCCAGGCAAAGCTGGGTAAGGTCATGCTCGCATTCAGTAGCATAGAGTCTGGTTTGTAGGTCGAACAATTGTGTCCATAATTTCTTGGTGATGGCATTTGCATCATGCAGCTGCTGTCCCTGGGTAAGCAACTGTGTGTTTGCAAGAGTCCTGGTGGCATGATCCTTGTCTTGAGCTTGCTGAACAGCAGGGTCAAAGGCCCTACTAATGCGAGAAAGCAGCTCTGAGGCTGCTGCACCTCAGCAGCGTGCCACAGGTGCATCTGTCTGAGTGGCACGGGTGACTACAGTGTGCTCGAGGGGGGACATACTTTGCACCATGACAGGTGGGTCATTACAATTCAACTCATCGTCCTGGGTGTCATAGTCTGAGTCATTTAGATTGTGTGTGCCAGCACGCTCATTGATGCACGCATCAAGCTCATGGGCTCGAGTCACATCAGGAGGACACACTCCGTCACCAGTGGGCTTTGTAGTCTTCACAAACTGAGGTTGCAAGGTAAGACGTTAAGATGCCATTGTAGAACGAACTAGAACTTACTTGTTTGAATTTGGTTTCGAGTGACTGGGCTTTATGGTGAGGGCATTCATGGCAGCTTGCCTACTGCGTGAACTTCAAGTGGATTGCTTGCCACCCTTTCTGGCCCAGAGGCAGCTTGTCTTCAACAAAGTCCAGGAGGGCCTTGACATCCGCTGAGCTGTAATTGTTGGAACTGTGTGGGCAGCCATGTTTGGCCCTCAGATCATCTTCATCATCTTCAAGGGCACGTGCATGCTTTTGAGGGCGGTCACCTCCATTCATGTTAGTATTCTCCTTATCTTTACCCTTGCCTTTGGTAGCTTTGGTCACAGTCTTGCGATGCACCCCACCAGCTTTGATAGCAGGCATGTATCCATGAGATTTGGCAATCATCAAGGGGTCGCAAAGGTCTTGGTCTGGTGAATCCGGGAGTGGGATATGAACTGGGTCCTGGTATGCGCTAGACAGCACAAGGTGGGACCCAGGTGGTGAGGGTGGTGGTGACAAGTGAGGTTGGGAGAAGTTGGCTGGAGTCGTAAGTCCATACATCAAGGGCGCAGCTGCATGTTGCTGCAAGGTGATAAGTACATGTTGTTGAAGATCAGAGAATGATGAAGACTCATGCCATATGCCTGGGAGTCTTCAGAACATGGCACTCGAGTGACAGCCTGTGCAATCCCAGGATGGGGCCGCCAATGACCCAAGTGGTCACACACATATGCATTCCCTGTGTTATCATAGCGCAACTCAGGAATCAACTGGCTATGAGGGACAATCATACATTGGGAGGGGGTAATGTCAGACATTGGAGGGACTGAAAGTTTAGGTACTTACCTTGTGGCTACCGGTACACAAGCTTTATATGTTTCAAGTGTTTGTTCTGCCAGATGCAAGGGGTGGGGATATTCATAGGATAAAAAAAAGTAAAGGTCCCTGGGCTGGTAACAGCGCAACATGAGCACACAAAGCCAAAATGGAGTAGCTACAAGCTTGCTGACTTTATATTGAGGTATGTTGAAGAAAATTTCATTGACAGAGGGATAGGATTGGTGGGAGGTTGATGCTAGGTTGCATTGGGCAAGATTGGAGGCACCAGAGGCAGACTGGTCACTGTGGCCAGGTAGTAACTTCATTACTGGGCATGGACATCCAAGGACATTCCACATGGCACTAGATAACATCTAGATAGTGGCAGGAGAAAGAGACATTAGTATAGTTGACAAAAGGTTGAAACGCACCTCGGTATTACTGCGCAAGGTGCTACATTGCATGCAATGCGTCTCGAGCAAGGCTGATTATGTCAGCATATATCGCTGGCGTTAGTGGCCTAAAATGGATGGAAGTTGTCTGCAAAGTCTATTGGGGGGGGTACCCCCCCCCAATAGACACAGGATGCAGGCAGAAAGATATATCCACATGGCTTATAATCCTACAAGTCCGATACATCATTAGGTCTAGTTATCCACTCTGGAATATATCTGTTCTGTATAGTTATCAATCAGCCAGCCTACCTTTGAAACGGCATATATGGCTCTCAGAAGGGTGGCCGTTCCCCAGTGAACATATTATTTTAATATTTGCAATCTTGTGATCTTGTTTTGTGATCAGCGATCTCACAAAGGTACCACATCACTATGTAGTTGTTCAATCATGAATCACATCAATTAACCTTTCACGATCATGGTACAAAAACACTATTATTCATCAGGACCCTCGATATACTCACAAGGAGGTGCATCCAAAGACACCCCATCAACATCGTCAGTACTTGGATCAAAATCAAAGTTCGAGGCCACAAGCTGCGGGACTCTCTTCCAATGTTCTGCAAAAGCTACCACTAAACCTCGTCGAATGTGAGCCTGACAGCGAGCATATGCAATCATACCCTCCTTTTCCTTGGGCTGCTCGATAGTTGGTAGGGTTGCGCATGATTCCCAGGAGTCTTCCTGCCATTTGAGAAAGGCTAGAGTACATCGCATTTCTTCTAATAAGAGCTGGACTTCCTCCAACCACCTATTATGACACGCTCGGGCTTTACACCATTTGACACGAAGCACTAATGTAATTCAGCATACAACAACAAAAGAGTGAGATTGAACAGCTTACAGTCTTGGAGTCCCTCGCTGTCATCAGAAGAAATTCCGTGAGTTAGCCAAATCCACGACATAATCACTGTGCCTTGAGTCTGTTGTCTGAAGTCCCCAATTGGTCTGAGGTGCATCTTTTTTAAAGGCTGCAATTTGTGCTCCCATCCTATCCGATCAAGGTGGTGAGCTAAGGAGAGAAGCGCCTTGTGAGCCCTTGCATACTTAGCATGGCTCAACATAAGACATTCCTCAACTGCATCCATGGTTTTGTGTGCACGGGTGTTGGGCCCTTGTCCATGTAGATGCTGAACCTTGAATTGATACAGCTGATGGCACAGTCGAATATGCGAACGACACTCATTCAGAGCATCAGTAGCTTGGGCAAAACGCAGAGACCATTCTGTTTCCAGGAGTGTCTTGTTGCATGGCACAACATCACAGATCTCGGAAGGCAGAAGCAATTGAAAGTCTTCTGCCTTTCCAGAGGTGGGGTCTGGGACTGGACAGCTGCTGTCATTGCTGTTGCAGCCAGTTGGGAGGTTTGCAGATATTTGGAGGTTTGGTACCACTGGCATGTAAAGTTTTTGAATGTCGGTCCACATGTCTAGGCAGTGTTGCAGTGCATTCCTTCAAGTTAAGACCTTGGTCCTCTGGATATCAGTTGCATGCTGACCGAGTGCAGAGGAATTGACATGCAAATGGCATCTAAGATAATTTAGCAGCGCTCTACAAAAGATTTGAAAAATGTCTTATTGGGCATCTTCAACATCAATGCCAGTGCTAATGAGAACACTGCAGGTGACTTCAGTGTGGAGTGATATTGCTGACCTGTCTTCCAACTCCTTTGCATCCTGCTGTGCTAACTCTAACCGCACAGCCACCTGGGTCATTGCTGTATATTTGTGAGCAATAGGTCAGCATTATGCAGAACAACTCACCGCCAACTTGTCTCTGGAATGGATTACATTGTGAGTGATCCATCTCCCAGGCTTCAATCTCCGTCCTCCATGCAGTGAGGGAAGCAGCTCCTACTTCCAAGTCATTGATAGAGCTCTCGAGTTCAGAGAGAGCAAGATGGTGTTCCTTCTCAGCGACAACAGCTTCCATCATTTTTCATAGCATAGTTTTACCTAAGAAAGAAAGATGAGACTAGTTAGTACAATAACATCAACATACTACACCCACACTCACTGAGAGCCATAATCTTCTTCCAGTTCCAATCACTGAAATGGTCATTAAGTGTGTCGCGTTGGGCTCCAGGACCCATTTCCTTCATACTGCTGGCCATGCAATTGATGTTTGCCCATCCACGCTCAGGTGCTTCTCTGTCAGTCCGTCCTACTCCCAGAGTCCAATTGAATGAGAATTGAGTTTGGCATGATTTGATATGTGCAGCGATATGAAACTTCGGCACAAAAAAATTAATGGTCTTACCCTCTCGATCGAACTGAAGATGAGGTGGTAGTATGGGCAAGCGATCCCACAAGTTTTTGTGCCACTGGCACACAATATCATATGAAAAGTTGATTGTCGACAGGGTAGAGAATCTGGCAAGAGCAGAGAAAATGAGATAGTCCATATTAAGATATCTACAATGATGTGAGTCAGATGGACAGCATGTGCCCAATGATTCAACTTACTTTTCACCCTTCTGTAAGTCACCAACGCCATTAGCTAACTTCATATCATGGTGTGTGCAATCCACGGTGCCCACTCCAGTCGCAGCAAGTCCCCTTGATGACTTTGTATCAGCCATGTTAACCGCATTATGGCTGACACAGTTGCTTTTCTGTCAGACATAGAATAGTTGTCAGACTCGAAGAAGAATCTCAGGAAATCTAAGAGCGCACCTCTTGAAGGGTTTCACCATTGTTGCTCAGGTACCACTTATATTCATTCTCTTCGACAAAATAACCCCATCCTTGGCTAAGGCCAGGATCTTTTCAATCGGTCGATACCATCTGGCGCTTAAGTCAAAAGTTGGCATCTATAGCAAGAAAGAGTGCATACTTCCATCTAGCTATTCATCAGTCAATTCATTGTGTTCTGATAAGGGAACTTGCACACTGCTGACTCAGAGGTGAAGTTTCCCAGTTAGTAGGGAGGTTTTTTCCAGGATGCAGGCATGCAGGGCAGAGAACAGCCAGATCTCCATCTTGAGTGGAACCTATTCCGGCAGGATGGTGGCCACGACCTGAACATTTGAGTGCTTTGATGTTTCTCCACTCATGGACTATCCTTAGAAATGCTGAGTAGTGATCCTGATCTTTTGTGTAAGTATATCTGAATACATGATGTTAGAAAATGAACCTACATGAATTGGCATGATTCCTGTATTGTCAGTCCACCGTGCCAAGCTATGATAAAACTCATATGCAGACACTTTAGACTCAAAGGAGAGTATGTGAAAGAACTCCAAAACAGCAAATGTTGCCGCCATTCTTGGGTCAGTCACCGTGGAAGGGAATAAGCGCGCACGGAGTAGTTGTTTGAAGTGTGAAACTTCCTGCTCGCATCCACAAAAATCAAGTCCTGTTGGATGCACACCATGGACATTGATAATCATGAAGTCATCACCAGATGCTGGTGTCGGTCTGCAACAAGTGATACCAGGAGGGTGTCCAAGTTGAATGCGCAGGCCCATGGATTTCAATGAAACAGGGTGGAAAAATCCGCCCCTCCATTCCTATTTCTCATTGTTAAAGTTAGAATTGGAGGATCAAAGGACCACACACCTTGATTCTATGGAGTGGGGAGTTATGGTGCAACCCAATGGTGCATGACCGACATGCAAGCTCAAGAGAGAAACAATCCTGACACCAAAACACAGTATCCTCTGCACCACACACACATGGGGTGTCTGAATCCTGGCCTCTTCCTTCAAGTTGTAGAAACTCGTTCATGTACATCTGATGTTCTGGCAGCCAAGAGGAGATGGGAGTGTCCTATGTAAGATCAACTATGGCATTATCTTCATACTAACACTGAAGACTTACTCCTGCAGTTCTCCTGCGTCTCTTTTCAGCCATTGGCATCTCAGGCACTCCAAGGACATTGTCCACCTTGGATGAAGGGTCAAAGGGCACCATCTCATTCCAAGGATCATCTTCAGTGGGAACAGTAGGGCTGGCATCAGTGTCCACAGTGTTTTCATCCTCCTTCTCAGGTAGGGTGGCAGGAATGTAAGAAGTCCAAAGCACAAGTTGACCGCTAGGCTGCAAACTGAACATGTGATGCCTGTTGACATAATTTGAGGGCTGGGTGGTGTCTGGCTGTGTATGCCTGATGAGTTTGGGACGCTTAGATGGACGGCCAGTGCGTCCAGACTGCGACATGGCTAATGCTGGCTCTCTAAGCATCAACACATTAAATTTCACTACTAGGTAGATTAGTGATATATCTAGCGACACATATGCCAACATACATACCATATGTGCTATGGGCGAATCCTAGAAGCTCATTAAACGATATATCACAATGGATGGTTGAAACTGACCTAAGATATCGCAGCAATACAACTCTGCTTGCACATTCCTCCCATAATCACGGATCAAGGTATGCGGTCCGAGTTGAGTGTTGATATTCAGGCCAGAGCTCATAGCAATTCCTAGATGTCCAAGAGGTGGCAGCCCACACGGGAACAGCACACATGGCTGATGCCTCACTTGACAAAATACCAAGTGATGCCATGTAGCGAAGAAGCTGTGTACTTGATGCTGATGCACAGGGAGTGGTTAGAGAATTGGCCTGAGGAAGATGTTCTGTGACCTGATCGTTCTATGGAGCAGCACACATTGAGTGAAGATGAGAAGGCAGAGCTGTGCTTAGCCGAAAAGGAATGCAAAGAAGTAAGTGTCTATACCAAAGTCTCTCAGTGTTATACTGACTGTGTTTGTAGATCTTAAAACGGTGGCTGAGCTGGGCGTGGCTATATCCAAGACATGCTCATTCTATGTATGGGTGTTCAGGTTGTTGTGGAACTGCTGACAGACAGTGTGTGTACCCTGTGCCAGATTTAACAGATTTTGTTTGTGCTTGTCTTAGAGAACAGTGACTTGTGTAGTATATGGTGTAATGCTAATTTTACAGCATTACAAAGCAATAAAACTAAAGTCCATATCTACTACATCATGCAATAAGCAGGAAGCCAATGTAAATTCAAGCTAAAGGTCTTTTACTAGTATGTACCAACCACATTGCAGTTGGTACATACTAGTAAAAGACCTATAAAAGTCCAATGAAACACGAACCAAATACAGCATGAGTGATTCTTGAGCTTTCTCTACCAAATACCAAACTCCCTTACAACACCAACCACAATCACTACATCAGATATGGGTAGACCAAAGCTTTACAAAACCACTGAAGAACTCTGGGAAGCAAAACAAGTGCACAGACAGGTGTACTATACACGGTGCGAAGTCATTTTATTGGTATTGGAGTTTTTAACAGACTTTCATTTCACACCAGACACAAGAATAAAATCAGTACAAAAATGAAAGCAAGATATCGTGTGCAGTAAGTTCATCTCTCGCATTCTTGCTATCCAATTATCATAATAAATACTAGGAATCCTGTGTCTGATAAGACATTGATGACACTCAAGCAAACCAAGCCAGTGGTGTCCAGATGCCACTTGTTGGTGATGTGCTCCTTGTACTGATTGACATTTTCTGATGAACACTCGGATGTACAGGAAACAAAATCGCCTAATAACCTACTTAGGTGGTCCCCCTCACGAAACACTTGATGCACTGTATACCTGCTATCTGGAGACATGCTGCTCGGACAACATTCATGATGTAATGGGCATCGTTCAGGAGATTTTACAGGAGCTCAAAGAGATCGAAGATAGCATGTCAGGAGGGAGAGCCATGGATAGAAGGTATACTAATGCTCAGGATGACTCTAAACAGGCTGCAGATGTACTATTGGCCCTCGAGGATTTATTCTCCTGTGTGATGGTCCTGGACATGGATCTTAGACAGCGATACGCACAAAAAAAATTCCTGTTTCAGAGTCTTTAGGAAATCCCTGCTGTTACATGATCTATTTACTTAGTAGTGCTTCTCAATTGCAATGTAGTGTAGCTGTATGAGTATGACAGTGTCTGTGCATGGGACATTGATCTCAATTTTTACACTACATTTCAATATTCATTTCACTTACTGCAGCCTAAATGCCCAGTCTTTGTAAATCAACAGATCAATTAACATTAATGTATGTATCTAATCCTCTGCTGACATGACTGAATGTCTAAACTATGAAAATAGATGGCCCCTCATAAATGGACAACATCCGAGCAGGAGGTGTGGCTTGAACCATGGTACCAAAAATTCGCCGAAAAGCAAAGTGACAAGAGTAGAAACCACAAAAACTTCTTTGCGGACCTTTACAAAAAATGGTTCAAAGCATTTCCAGAGCCTCGGCCAGATCATATCACCAAATTGGGGCCATTAACACTGGAAGAACACAATAACGCAACCGACATACAGAAAGCTGTAAGTTTCATTGAAATAGTCAAAGACGTGACACTGAGAATATTTGATAGAAATTACATACACGGTTCAAGAATAACTTCAGCAGGTTGAAGGTGGGGCGACAAGCAAAAGCCAATGCAAATGACATCTTTGACGCTGTTGTGCACAAAATAACCGAATGTGAAAAACCTATGCGAATGCTTCAGGAACAGGAAGCATATTCCAAGTTGTACTATGCTGACCGTGTTCAGAAATCCATCCAAGAGATGCTCAAGGTTGCACAAGCAACACAATCACTCACAAATGGTCAGCGAGTAGCACTTGTGAAAAAAGAAACTGTGGCCCTGTATGCTGGCGAGTCTGAGGAGATCAAGGCTAAAGTGAAGGAGTATATCCATGCACAGAAGCAAGAGCACAGTAAGGAAAAAGCTGAGCCTTGGAGTGATGAAGATCAGCAGCGGTGCATGCTGCTTGGGTTCACTGCATAGTATTATCAGCTGACATGCACAAAGAAATCTCACAAAGCTAGCCACTGTCGCAAATCAATTTCTGAAAGGCCTCACTGATGCCACTGGCCTATCCTTCAGCCTTCTCATTGGGGGTCCATCCATCGAGTTAGGTGGGATGATTGATGTCTGGAGGTATGTTCTGCATTAGAAACTCAAAAACTCGAGGGTCAAACTTACACTGGGCAGCTTCCATGTTGGGACAATGAAGCTGGGCAATAATTTTAGCCAGGCTTACCCTAAATTCGAGAGTGAGGTAGTGGGACCATTTTGTGATTATCTGTATTGTGTGTACCGTAAGTGTCATCTCTGACCAACCATAACACCTTGTACAAAAAAGCTTACCATTGTGATAACAGCGGAGGCTGCAGCACTCAAAGATCGGAAGATGGGAGGAGCTAGCAGCTCCAGTTCATCGTGGGGAGAGAGCTTATACAACGAGAATCAGCCATCATATCATGCATTGGATATGATGAACGAGTTGTCCAAGCAGGATACATCTTTGACAAACATGTTTGGATCACCAGATTTATCCAACTTTCCTTCTTTGTCACATGACCCAGATGTATCCGAGTTTCTGCCTTTGTCAAATGGCCCTGGGTCTCCCATATTGACCTCTCCAGCATCACAGCCCTCCAGCTCTGACAACATTCTCTCTGGCAACAATGAATCAAACTGGCTGGTGTCCAATGGCCTCAACAATCTCTTAGAAACATTGGCCCAGAATCTGCCAATGTCAACTGTTGACTGCTTGATGTCACACAGTCCTCCTTTGCTGCCTTCCATTCCTGTGGTTCCAGCTGCAGCTGATACATTCTATTTTCCCCCACCACCCAAACTGTTTGATGGTATGCCCTCAGCCAACTCACTTCCTAATCCCCCTCTGCCACACAAACCATTTGATAGTACACCCTCAGCCGACTCACTTCCTGATGCCCTTTCACCCTCAGCCAACTCAGCCCCTAGTGGATTCACGCACCCAACTGCTCACCTCCCTGGAAATGCAGAAGAGCCCAACAGCAACAGGCCAGATGCACTCTCTGCATCTTCAATGGCAGAAGATTCTACAGAGGACTTGCGTCCCTCACCCATCCCGTCTCACACTTCCACTTCAGCAAACATTGTCAATGAGCCTTGAGTGGATGAGGCTCAAAATGACAAAGGGAATGACAGCGGCAGACCCCGCAGAACAAGGTGCGCACACATCCCATCAACACGCAACATCATTGCCAACTTGATCGGCAACAATTGCAGGGAGAATGTATCCTTGAACCCGGCTTCAAAATACAGCCATGCCACTGATTCATCCACTCATGCAGGTCAGCAAGCAAAGTTAGTCTCTTTTTGTTTTTAAAACCTCTTATGCTCATTATCTCGCACAGAAGACCAAGGGTGTGAGCTCAATACCGTCTGCTGCTCAGGTTCTTCCTGTGCTTGCTTTCTTTGGTCCATGTTCTTGCGTTCCCTTTCATACTGCTTATTTTCATGTCTTGTGCTGGTTAATGTTGACGCAAAACTGTAGTTGAAATTTAGTTCTAATTTTAATTGAATGGTTATATTTGTGAAGATAATGTGTGATGTGATAGTACTAAGGATTACTAGGACAAAGGCTTCTGTCTGATGCTCCAGAGTGCAAACATTGGACCAGACCCTTGTGAACGCAGGTTCGGTTCTAGCTCAGAATGCATTTGAACACCCAAACCAAAAAGAGCCGCCAGGACAAAATAATGACAAGTTGATCTGGGACACCGTGAAGGTGAGAATGAGTGGAGCACTGGAAGCAAGGCTGTGAGCACCTTAGGAAAGATCATAGATGTTAGATGAAACACACCGCTGAGCCAGAGACATGAGGATGTCGAAATTCAGCTGCATGGGGAACATGCAGAACTTGATTATCATTGGGATGAATTACAGTAAATTGAATGTATCATTCAAAGGAGTGACATGGTGTACCTCACTGTTTTGAACATTATCAGTGTATGTCCAGTGATGCCTATAAAACAATGAGCTTACCAAAGATACTTGTAGTAGAATTGTTGCTTGCGTCTCCCAATAGTGCGGCAAGGATAAATTTTGTACATGGGATTGTGTGGGTTTGTGTTAAGAACCATGCTCAAAGGAGAGAGAGACTGACTCAGAGGGGCTTGGCCTCAGCTCATACGCTGTGCCCCTTACCCAAGTATGTGCCCTTCATTTCAGAGGAAGTCTGATGATGGTCCGATGAAGTCCGGAGGACTTCTGGAGGCTGGCTACTCTGGTGGAGAGTGTGGGAGGACTTCCGGAGGAGCGCGGGAAACGTCCGGAGGAGCGCGGGAGAGTTCCAGAGGAATGCAGGAAATGCCCAGGAGAGTTCCCACTGCAAGGTAATACTTCTACAGGAAAACAGGATGGAAGGATAGGAGGTCTGGAGGACAGGAGGACAGGATGTCCAGAGGTCCGGAGTATGGAGGACAGGAGGTCCAGAGGTATGGAGGATGGAATGTCCGAAGGTATGGAGGGCAGAACATCCAAAGGACAGGATGCCCAGAGGTATGAGGGACAGGACGTCCAGAGGTACAGAAGACAGGAGGTCCAGAGGTCTGGAAGGAATAGGGGCTACATTGGATGAAGTCCAATGCAGAAGCAAACAGAGGTAGACTACCCTAAGGTAGAGTCGGAGGGACAGGAAGTGGACCTAAGTCTGGAAAGAGGGTAAGTGCTGGAAAGGCAAGACTCCAGCCTAGGGAAGCAATCCCTAGACTTGGGACAGAGACATAGGGGACAAATCCAAAGGTCCGGAATTCCAGCCTAGGGAGTCCATCCCTAGGCCTTATGGAAAAGGACGAGACTCAGATGGACTGAAGTCTGGAAGATGATTGGCAAGTGGAACAGGATCTAAGATGAGAGAGCAGGAACTAAGATGATATTCCAACTGAGGACTCTACTGTAGTTGTACAGGGGTTATATACTAGAGGCTATCTGAGAGGATCAGTAAGCAAAGGAGTAAGGCTATGTATGAGCATGTGGAAACACATTGGTAAGTAAGATGGAACATATGTAAATGAACTCAGAGATGAAACTAGTACAAGGATCAATCAGCAAGACGGAAACAGAGATAACCGAGAACCGGAAAGGCGGAGATGCCTAAATGGGGATAGGTGCAGGATCTCGGATAAAGGGCAGGAATAGGTCCGGAGATAGTAACAGTTAATATCCAGAGGTCCAGAGATCTGGGGATCCAGAAGGCAGGGCAGAAACAGGACTGAGATATGTGAGGTGGTGGATGTAGTCTGGAATCCAAGAGGAGGTAAAGTCCAGATGTCTTGCTGGACAGAATGTGCGTAGGGTGGACAGGATAGGGGATCCCGGAATGAGTTGGATATGGGGTCCGGAAACAGGTCCGGAAAGCGTGGGAATATGATGGGATCTATGTCTGGCATACAGGATATGACAGTTTGGAACATACTGTAGGGCCCATTCAGTTCATTCTCATGGTTGAAGAACGCATTTTCAAGCGCAAGTCCTAGGAGCCAGAGACGTGAGGATGTTGAAATTCAGCTGCATGGGGAACACGCAGAACTTGATTATCATGAATGTATCATTTGAAGGAGTGACATGGTGCACCTCACTTTTTTGAATGTTATCAGTGTATGTCCAATGATGCCTATAAGACAACAAGCTTACTGAAGATACTTGTAGTAGAATTGTTGCTTGCATCTCCCAATAGTGCGGCAAGGATAAATTTTGTACATGGGATTGTGTGGGTTTGGAACGTACTGTAGGGCCCATTCAGTTCGTTCTCATGGTTGAAGAATGCGTTTTCAAATGCAAGTCCCAGTGCCATCAGCCATGTTCCTTCTTGGCAGGTACAAGAAGCGAGTCCATCGTCAGATCCTATTGCCAGCTGCTGATCCCATCAAGGAGAACGAGGGACGGCAGGGTGTAAATGGGGGTGAACTGCCAAATATCCATATGGAGCATTCAACCCCCCGTAAAGCGGCAATTTGTAAGCACGGAAAGCCACCAGCGCGATTCTCGTGTAGGATACATCCTGTTGGACAATGGATGACAACAGAAGAGTATGTATCGGACTTTTAAGACTATAGTCCACTTAAGATATATCTATATAGCATCATGGGCTGCAATAGATTAAGGTTTATTGAGGGGGGCAAAACGGAACATGTTTGGTAATCGTGTGAAAATGAATAGCGGCATCGCGGCACACCTGCCTAATGGGGCCAATTCTATGGTATGATATTCTAATAAGAATTTTTCGAGCCTACGGAAAGTCATCCACTACTGAGATCATTTGTAAAACATAATACATACGCGTGGGCATCGGTTGCATATCATGCATTCCCTCTTACACAGGCCGAAGTTCCGAGTACACACAATGCTCTATTTTTAGAATAGTGACCCACCTTGGCACTTTTGCTTTCGAGTTGACCATCATGTTTAGTAAACCTAATGGTCCCGGTCAAGCACGACCAATCCAATGGGTCATCGAGAACTACACGAAGATCTACATTCACCTGATGGAGTCGAAATATCTCGGCACTTGTGTGTCCACTACTAATCATTAGGTAGATCATCAGGTTCTCTTACGGATCTATTGCCTTTAGTGCGTGGAGCGTGGAACTTGGAAGACCACACATGTCCGATTGATCCGTGCAGGTGTCGAATTCGTGTTTGTAAGTCAGTGTAATCGTGCACTGTAATCTCAGCGTACCCGTCGCTCATCGCAGCAAGTCACCATGTTCTGGGGTATTTAACCTGTTGCAATGGCGAGGGGTATCCTCACTATCAACAAGCTCAACTGTTTTAATGGCGTTTATCACTATTGCATGCACCCTTGTGGTCTTGACCAGCATCTGGATCGTGAAGCAACGATATCAGGCCGCAAGGCGGTTGCCATTACCGCCTGGACCGCCTGGACGTTGGCTTTTAGGAAATGAGATGCCAAAGTCATAGTAAGTGTTTGTCAATGGACATCAATATGATCTCTAACCGCTCACACAGTGCGCCGTTTCAATTCGCGAGGTGGACAGAACAATACGGACCCGTATTCTCGCTCAAACAAGGCCATAGGATTTTCGTGGTCATAGGACGTCATCAGGTAAGCACCAAACGATTCATCGTCAAGTCAGGCATGAAATGGGTCTCGTCATAGGCTGCAGTGGATATCATGGAAAAAGAGGGAGCAAATCTCGCCGACCGCCCACGTTCTATTGCAGTGCAAGAGACATTATCCGACGGGATGAGAATGGTCCTTGAGCGCAGTGGTGAGAAATTGCGTCGGGTGCGCAGGTACGCATCTTATCTCTACCAGGTGCGATCAGTAAGACTGATCGTAAAGCAGGGTCTTGCATGCAGGTTTACAACCCAAGGTTGCGGCGACCTATGAACCCATCCAGACCAGGCATGCGAGGAATCTGATTCTAGATATCTTAAATGATCCGAAGAACCACCAAAGTCATGCCATGCGGTACGAACACCAGCTCTTGCTCACGTGGTACAGGTTATAATCTGTGCATTTTAGTTATGCAGCTTCCGTGGTCATGTCCTTCACCTATGGAAAAACTACTCCGACTTCGTACACAGACCCTGAAATTGTTGCGGTCAATAAATCTCTTGCGCGTTTTGGTCAAGCTATAAGGCCAGGAGCATACCTTGTGGATACATATCCAATTCTGCGTTTCGTCCCAGGGTACCTGAGCCAGCTGAAGGCATGGCACCAAGAAGAACTTGCTCTCTTTAACGGGCAGTTGGACGCGGTGCGAAGACAGATGGTTCGTGATTTTGTTGCTCTGACGGATACCCTGGCTCACCATTGTGAAGCGTGAGGGAACTGCAGAGCCGTCCTTTGGACGGTTCATTTTAGAGCACCAGAAACAGTACCAGCTCGAAGAGAAGGGACTAGGATATATTGCAGGGGGAATGTTTGCTGCCGGTTCTGATACTGTAAGCTCTTACATCGCATGACGTCTTAACTTGACGACTGTTGTAGACTGCTTGTGCAATCACAATCATGATGATGGCTGCTACCATCCACACGGACGCACAGGCTCGCGTACAAGAGGAACTCGATAACGTCGTGGGGCGTACGCGGCGTAAGTTATGCCTTTTCTTTGTTCATCTACTGACTAAGATAGCTCCTTATTAGTGCCGACATTTGATGATCAGGAAATGCTGCCACAGGTTACCGCGTTCATGCTCGAGAGTCTGAGGTGGAGACCTGTCGCCCTTGGAGGTAGGTCTTATTTGAGTTGTGATGATGCGACAGTGAACAACGACCTTGCACTACAGGCTTTGAACATCGCGCAACCAAGGACATAATTTGGAAGAACTACCTCATTCCTGCAGGTGCGACTGTTATTGGCAACCATTGGTCAGTTGGCAATCGTTTTCGTTGTCTCACCTTTATCTCTGACGCTGGTCTTTCAGGGCTATCGCCAACGATCCTGAGGTCTTCCCAGAACCGCACAAGTTCAATCCTCAGCGTTGGATTGACGATGCAGGTCGTGTGCGCGATGATCTCCGATTTTTCACTTTTGGCTTTGGCCGCCGGTGAGTTGCATCGCTCGTCTTGCGAGCCGTTCCCATGACTTACTTGAAAATGTCAGAGTGTGTCCCGGTCAGCATGTCGCAAATCGGTCTATCTTCATCAATACAGCTCTTATTCTCTGGGCTTTCCGTCTTTCTGAGAATCCTGCAGCAAAGATTGACACGCTTGCTTTCTCGGATACTGCGGTTATACATGCTGCTCCGTTTGAGATATGTTTGGAGAAGAGGATTGATGAGAATCTGATCAGGGAACTGTGCGCACCTGGGAAGTAAAGGGCGTCTGTCTGGGAAATTGCAAGTTCAGTATGCTTATATATTCAAATAGTTGATAGTACTTCATACATGCGTTGTGCGCTTGACACTTGTGTACAGTGCACGCCTTTGTGCGTGGGAATCTTAGATATTCTTGTGGCTGTATTGTGGGGGTCGGCGCCGCCGGTTTCATACTTGTGCTGCACTATACGCACAACACCGTATTATCAGCGTTCGACATGGGCAAATTGAATATCGCTCATCACAAGTCATACCACCCTTACCGCCGGGACAACATCGAACGCGTACGGAGAGATGAAGAGGAAGCTGCGCAAAAGGAAGCCGAGGCTGAGGGAAGGGTAGTGCTGGCTGATGCAGAGGCTCGGTTGGACCTCCTCCGAGAGCGTGCAGGACTTGGGAAAGGGAAGGGGAAGAAGAAAGAGGACGATATGAAGGCTATAGATGATGCTAAGGCCTCTACCGTTGCCAAGGACTCGAAACAAGGTCATATCAATCTATTTGAGGATTTAGAACAGGTTGGGTTGTTCTCGCCATCTTGTTCGCATATATTGATATGGTGCTAGCAAGAAACTATTACCGCCATACGAGCGACGAAGAAGACCGCACAGCTAGAGACTGAGAAGGGTGTACCACTGGCTCCAAGTGCTAAGGACCTCAAGCCATGGTACAGCGAGCGCGATAAGGGAAAGGAATACCAGGAGGATGAGAAGGGTAAACGCTTAAGGTATGCAGCTCATGCTACTCTAGCCGTACATTTACGACTTCCCTTTGACATTTCAGATTGCGGGATCTTGCTTCAAAGACTATGAACGACCCTCTCACAGCCATCACGCATCAGCTTGCATCAAGCTCTTCATCGAACAATCCTTCCGCTGTGCCTCAGCCGTCATGGCGACATTCCAAACATCGCACCTTACCTGATTCAAATAATAAGATGAAACCGCCTCCCCCACCCTCGGATGCTACGACCATGCGCCTCACACGCGAATCATCAGAACGCGAACGCGCGCTGGCGTTGATTCGGCGCAAGCAGCGTGAAATGAGAGGCAGCGAGACGCCGAGCACTGTGCACGGGGGCCTAGATGAAGGGTATGGGGATGTATTCAACCGGCGGGAGGTCGAAGAAGCGCATTCATATCGACGAAGGCGGTGGTAAGTACATTCCCGGCCTATGAGACCTATTTATTGCGCTGTATGCTCTACATCCCGCGGCGGCGCTACGATGGGATGTTGTATCAATGGTTTAGGTATTTGGCTTGTTCCTGGACATGCTAGCTGGTGTTATGGTGACCTACCCTGTTATTCGATAGTGAGTGCATTAGTGAGGTACGTGTGTTACCTCACTTATAGCAGAAGTCAAGACCTCCAGTACCACTCAGTAAAGTATTTTCTGCTCATACATAAGGTTAAGTACCTTGCCATCGCGCATCTACTACCCCCGACCTGCACTCTCCCTCCACCTACCAACGCCTAACCTCCAAGTTGCGCCCTCCCGCGTGAAGCGCCAATTGCAACTACAGTGATCCTACGGTCCTTTGTACACAACCAACCCATTATACAATTTAATTTTCTCAATGAGGTCTTCGTCAACTTGCAAATATCATATCATGTTCAGAATATGTGATGGTACCGAAAAATATACTGCTCAAGTTTAGAAAAATCTGCAAAATATCACTCCAGAGCAATATGTTTGAGCATCAAAACTTTACCATTGCACCCAGTTTCACCCCACCTGGACTAAACTTGGACATGAGGTGCCCTCTTGACTTGGTCTCACTCAACATCTCCCTTTCACTGCTGGTATTCAACCAATACCTTTGAACTATACATATATAATCTTTTAATGTGGTTGATCAATGACAAAGTGTTTGAACTTTGAACATAATCTGTGCCCTAGGATTTGTAACGGTGCCGCCAGTGCCGCGTCACGACCGTGGCAGGCGGCAGGACCGCGTCAATTTCACCTGGCCCGTTTTCTGAATGCCGAATGGCGACATCGTCAGTAGTCATTGATGCTTTGCACGTCATATGCACACCAGGTGGTCAGAGCTTGAGTAATTAAGGTACGAAGCCCTACGACTTTGAATATCCCGCATTTTGGTGACGCCATGCTTATGGGATACGTTCATCCATATTAACAATCATCGGGTCAGGAGAATTGATAATGCGATATGTAAGCCAAGCGGCTTCCTCAGCCCTTGAAGATATATAAGAAGGATGTAACTTGTTCATGATAGCAAGCACACTTCCATTCCACATTACATCCAACATTAACAGATCAACGATGACTTCTGACACCACCAGCGCCCTTAACTATTTCGTTGCTCCAGTTGACGGCTCGAGGGCTTACAATAGAATCTACGCAGATAGCACCACGACAAAGCCGCCTCGCAACTGGACCCAGGAGCCGCATGACATCCAAATTGAGGACGTGCGCGGGAAGGAGGAACTTTACAAGCTTGACAATGCAGGATTTCAGTATGGGCGAGAAGCAGCGAAGCATACTAGCTTCTTGAATGATGGTGAGGTTGAGCGAGAATACTACCCTGAGAGCATCGACCTCATCAAGAGGGTGACGGGAGCGTCTAGCATTGTCATTTTCGATCACAGTGCGTTGACCACTGATTTGAAACGATGTCTTGATCTCTAATTCATGTCACAGCTATTCGTCGCCGTCGCGCAGGCGAAGTGGGTGATAACCCACAGAAACGTCAACCAGTCTCCACGGTTCATGTGGACCAAACGACTGCATCATCCATTGCTCGTGTTCACAGGCACCTCCCGCCAACAGAAGCTCCTTCTCTCCTTCGCAAACGCTTCCAAATCATAAACCTTTGGCGTCCTATATCGCATGCAGCTGTTGATTGGCCGCTTGCACTGTGCGACTTCCGCAGTGTCGATGTAGAGAAAGACTTGGCGCCCGTCGCTCTTTTATACCCTGACCGGGAGGGTGAGACATTTGGGGTCAAATACAACACAAAGCACCAGTGGAAATACCTGAAGGCGATGACCCCGGAGGAGTTTGTTCTTATCAAATGGTGAGCGAAGTAACCTGGGGAAGCTTTCTATTGTGCTAAAGTGTCTCAGTTTTGATTCGATACAAGATGGCAGTGTGGCGAGGTTGACCCCTCATACTGGCTTCCAAGACTCAAACACTCCAGAGGGAACACCACCTCGGGAATCCATCGAGCTGAGAGCTCTGGTATTCTATGATTAGAACGCATTTTGTGAAGTAGCGTTAGGAGTTACTATATATATGTATGCGTTGTTGTACTTTGCTGATTTCAATCTCGGAAATTTAATTTTGCGCAATCATCGTGGACCGGTATATTTCAGTATCGGGCATCAAGGAGTTGGTTGGTTGCTAGGCGTTCCAGATAATTTAATTTGTCACTTGGTGGAAGTGTGGACGGGGGTTCACTGAATTTCAGTAGTGATACAACGAGAAATGGGTATGTCTACATAAACCTCGTCTTAAATATACTTCGTAACTTACGTGAATAAATACCATGACGGATGATCCTTCTCCGTGCAAAACACTTGACAAGCATTTCGCTATACAGTAGTGCTATAGCTAGTTAGTATATATACACGCTGAAGTGGGAGACCCCTAGGCAGGGAGGGGACGGGTAACACCGTAGCTTAGTCAGCCACTTAGTGTCCTTCACCACTTTGCCTTGCTCGCGACACGCAGGCACACAGTCGCGAATACAGCGTTCCATCGCTCCTGGAAGACAATCGAAGCCATGCTAGTTTCTGCGTCGGATTCGGCATCAAGTTTTGTGATGTTCTCGAACGCTAAGGATGAGGCGCGGTGAGTGGTCCCAGCACAAACATCTGCACACCCAAGAAAATATCAAAAGTACCATAGAATATCTGAGCCTCCCGTAGAATTTCAATTCTACAGAAATGATTGGCAGTAGTTACACGTCAACGAAACGCGGTATGAGTTCTTTGTCAATTTTTAACGCCACTTGACAAAATGTGTTCTAATCATTCTAATCATAGAATACCAGAGCTCTCAGCTCGATGGATTCCCGAAGCGGCGTTCCCTCTGGAGTGTCTGGGTCTTGGAACCAAGTATGAGGGGCCAACCTCGCCACACTACCATCCTGTATTGAATCAAAACTGAGACACTTTAGCACGATGAAAAGCTTCCCAGGTTACTTCGTTCACCATTTGATAAGAACAAACTCTTCCGGGGTCATCGCCTTCAGGTATTTCCACTGGTGGTTTGCGTTGTATTTGACTCCGACTGTCTCATCCTCGCGGTCAGGGTATAGAAGAGCGATAGGCGCCAAGTCTTTCTCTACGTCGACACTGCGGAAGTCGCATAGTGCAAGCGGCCAATCTACAGCCGCATGCGATATAGGACGCCAAAGATTTATGACTTGGAAACGCCTGCGAAGGAAGGAAGGGGCTTCTGTTGGTGGGAGGTGTCTATGAACACCAGCAATGACTGCCGCAGTCGTTTGGTCCACATGAACAAATGAGACTGGTTGACGTTTCTGTAGGTCGTCACCCACCTCGCCTGGGCGACGGCGACGAACAGCTGCGACATGAATTAGGAATCAAGACATCGATTCAAATCAGTGGTCAACTTACTGTGATCGAAGATGACAATACTGGTCGCTCCCGTAATCCTCTTGATGAGGTCGATGCTCTGAGGGTAGTATACGCACCGAATCTCATCATCATTCAAGAAGTTGACATGCTTCGCCGCTTCTCGCTCATACTGAAATCCTGCATTGCCAAGCTTGTAAAGTTCCTCCTTCCCGCGTACGTCCTCAATTTGCATATCATGCGGCTCCTGGGTCCAGTTGAGAGGCGGCTTTATCGTGGTACCATCTGGGTAGAATGTAACGTAAGGCCGAGAGCCGTCAAGTGGATCAATGAAGTAGTTGAGGGTGCTGATAGTGTAAGAAGCCATGGTCAATCCGTTGCAATTGGTGCTGGATGTAAAGCGGAATGGAAGTGTCCTTAGTATCATGAACAAGTCATAATATACTTGTATGTCTTCAAGGGCGGAGGAAACCGCTTGGCTTACATATCATATCATCAATGCTCATTGCTGGCCCACTCATCGTTAATGTGGATGAAAATATCCAATACACTGAATTGCGGGATATCCAAAGTCGTTGAGCGCTGAGCTTCGTACCTTACAGCAGTGTGCGAAACTAATGTCTATCAAGTGCGACACCATTCTCACAGGAATAGAGAGATCCTTTGACAACACCGGGCTTCGAATTACCCAAGGCTCGCAGAAGATCTTCTATCAAAATATTCATAAGTTCAATCAATACCCATAAGCAGAGGCGGCAAACCATAGCAACTTCAGCAGTGACCCAACAAGAAATTAATGAACTAATGCCAACACCCCAACAGGTGTGGACGGCCATACAGAGCAAGGAAAACCTACGGCGGAAATCAGAGCAAAACTGACCAGAGATAAAGTACGGGACCATTCTCGGAAGTGTCCTACGCTACTAACATGTTTCAAAAACCATGATAGGAAAGAACAGATTATTCTATAGTCGTCACCGAGTCAGCTCACCTTATCTGGAAGCCGAGGTGTGAAAGAACGATAAATAAAGTGTGAAAACGATCCTGCAAAACGGTACTGACGTTGAAATACATGATAGATAGATACACAAAATGAACTCACGGCTAAAGTTCGACAAACTTCTTACCGACTCGACGGGAAAAGAGCCCTTGAAGCATCACTAGTTTTACGCACATAGTACCTCAGGTATTAGATACATACCCAGTGATGTTGGAATTGTCGTCACAGTCGGCCAAGGTCGGTGTGCATAAGCGGAAACGTGAAAGTGTTCAAGGATGAGACGAACTATTTTTCTTCCGCCCTGGCATGATAGTGACTAGATCAGGCAATCAAGCTCCAATGTAGAGAGGTCCCGCACGTCAGAAGGGAGTCAATTCCCTTCAGTATCTATGTCAGTAATAACTGAGTGCTGGTACGCATAAGAGAGTGTGCCAGCAAGTCCGCAGTGTATTGTCCAGCTGAGTCTTTCCCCTTGCAGTCAGTGGTGGAAAATTTGCGTTCTACTCCAGCGATCTGCCACCGAGCCAATCCAGTAGCATATAGGGTGTCCATACACCATCACCATCTTCGCTATTAGACCATGCACGCACACGTTGAAGTGGCAAGGTATAATGGGAAGAGTCGTGACGGTGTTGCGCACATAATAGCGCATCGTTGTCACCATGTACTAAATGGGCGGGGCCATCTCATCACATGGAACGAAGCACATAGGATCTCGATCACCGCGGTAAAAAAAATACTGGCATCAGGACTTCAGGTGGGCGCTATAAGTAGTCACGTGGGCGAGATCGCTGAACATGTGCCCAAAAACTTTCGAAGACTTGAAGTTGATAAAGCTTCACTGCTCAGCGTTCAGTCCCTACCTTTCCAATGCCTGGCCTGCAAAGCGCATCAAGGAAAAGACCGGCGGTCTCACAGGGTGGCCCAAAATCCAAGAAACAGCGCTCCGAAAATCTTTCCTCGACGAAATTCGAGGAAGGAAAAAAAGTTCAGAAACGGAGTAGACCTGTTACACAGCCCATACCAACAAACGAGTTGTCTGATGAGGACGACGATGAGGAAGAAGATAACTTTGAGGAAGAAGAAGTTGAGGATCAGGAGATAGTTTCAGATGAGATGATGGTGGATGGTGCTTCCAGCAAAGATCCCAATGGTATGTTGACGATTACATGGACAGAATGCAGACGATTCATAACATTCTGAATAGCTGCGAGAGAGTCACATAAAGTCCAACGTGTACTGCAGGAACAACGTCGAGCAGCTAAACCACATTCCCAGTTACTTGTGGATGCAAAGCGCGTCTGGTCATTAGCTCGGCAAAAAAGCATACCCTCCGCGGAGCGACAGAAGCATGTAAAAGAACTCATGAAAGTTACCCAAGGAAAAGTCAAGGATATCGTTCTAAAGCACGACGCAAGCAGGATTATCCAGACTGTTGTAAAATATGGTGGGCAAAAGGAGAGGGACCAGGTCGCGATGGAGCTTAAAGGTCATTACAAGGCATTAGCTCAAAGCAAGTACTCGAAGGTTTGTCTGGTATATCTTCGCTCCTAAGCCTTCTGTTGACGACGGTAGTAGTTCTTAGTGACCAAGTTGATCAGACTCTGTCCAGCACATCGAGCATCGATCTTGCTCGAATTCCAGTCCAACGTACTCCGTCTCCTGTTGCACCGGGAGGCATCTGTGGTTCTTGCCGATTCCTTCGAGCTCTATGCAAATGCATACGAGCGTTCAATTCTTCTCCGCGACTTCTACGGCAAGGAGGTCGCTTTGTTCTCTCAAACACAAGGTTCCGAACCTGAGAAGGCGAACGCCAGAAAAGGCTTTCCTGGGGTTCTTGAAGGCCTTGAGGGCGAACGAAGAAAACGCGTACTGGCAGCACTGAAAGAAAATATAACCAGGATGTAAGCATCTGAAATTGAACACCATGTATTCCTCTAATCGATGACGCTATCGACAGTTTTAACAACTCCGATAAAGGCGCCATAACCCATGCAATCGTTCACAGGGCGCTTTTGGAATACTTATCTGCCATCAATGACACGGAAGATGAGTCAGAACGAGAAAGACTTCGCAAAGAGATATTCGAAAGGTAAATACAGGCTTAACTGATATATCATTCATTAACACTGTATCTGCAGTTGCCAGGATGTCCTTGCCGAGATGGTTCATACAAAGGACGGCAGCAGGGCTGTGAGAGACTTCATTGCTTATGGGACAGCTAAGGTACACTCAGATGTTGGCTCGAGTGGCGGATATTGATGTTTGTCGTACAGGACCGAAAACAAATTATCAAAGTCATTAAACCTCATGTTGAGCGTATGTGCACAGATGATGAGGCTCAGCTCGTCCTCTTCACAGCCTTAGACGTGATCGAGTTTGTTTTTCAAGTTTATTAGCTCAGTGTTGATGAATCCTGACACTTTTATATAGTGATACAAAGTTGACGGCCAAATCCCTTGTTTCGGATATCACCACCCACGCCCCTACACTCATCAACACCCCACAAGGTCGACGTGCTCTTTTCTACTTGCTTGTACCTCGATCACGGCGGCATTTCACACCTGCCCAAATAGCGATAATTGCTGAGATAGACCCTATACGTGGCAAAACCAGCAAAAAAAGTGCGGCTATTCGCGAAGGTGAAATACGGGGAGCAGCAAGTGAGGGATTGCTTAAGTTCGTCGAGGACAACGGCGCGGAAGCTGCGCGAGATACCGGTGGAAGTTTGGTAGTGTTGGAAATTATGCTTTATGCTGACGGCGGTTGGTGCATCTCACTCGATTTTTGTCAATTTTAACGTTTGTTTCTTAGACAAGTCTTCGGCTATGCAATCCCTCCTTCAACCATTAGCGTCGATATACCCTTCAGAGGATTCTTCAAAACTTCATCCAATTGACCTCCCACACACGTCACGAATGTATAAATCCCTTTTCCAGGGCGGGCATTTCTCGCATGCTAACAAATCCGTTATTCGCTCATCGTCGTTCTCCCCATCAGCATTCGCGTCTGCATTCATGTCCATTGTTGGTAAGGATTTGACAGTAAGCATGGCTGGGGGAGAGGGTGCCTTTGTTATTGCTGAATTTTTGCAACGGATAAAGGAAGAGGGAAGCGCCGACGAAAAACGGACCGTGAAGGGCTGGTTTGGTGAGGACGTTGTCGAGAGATTAAAAAAGAGCGAGACCAAAGGGAGAAATGTCCTACTGGATAAGGTCAATGCATTGTTCTTATGATGCTCATTCTACAGACCTAGCCACAGTGAGCTTTGGCCCAGATTGATAGATACATTTATATTATCAAGGTTGACTTGCTCCGATTTGCATTGGGAATGCTGCCCCCCGCCTCTGGGTCTCTCTTCGTATGTCGATTGGTCCTGCAATGCAGAAGGCTTCACCCATGTGAGCGATTTCGCAATTGACGTTAAAGGAGGAGGTGTTACGCTCGGCGTTCGTAAGAACGGCTAAACGGTCACAAAGAGTCTAAAGCGTACACCTATGTACGAGTCGTGCGAGTTAAGCAGTATATTGCAGGCCCTGGTCTGTGTAGGTCAAGTTAAAGAATACAAGCGTAAGGAATAGAGTATATATAAAGGGATTAAAGCGGAGCTTTAATAAATGAGTCGGAGATCGAAAGTAAATAGCAAATCAGAAAAAGAAAAGAGAATCGTACGATGGAATGTCATGGAATGTTCTGTGAATATGTGATAGTGTGAATAAGTGAAGAGGTGAAAGGAAAAGAATAGAACTGTAACATTACCCCCGTTGTAAGGGTAGTAGGCACCGACTACTATCAAAGAAGACGATGCGATCGTTTATAATTAGTGAGAAGTTCGGAAGCGTTACCTAATTCGGCTTCCTTCATCCATTCGTTCTCGGAACTCGGGAATCCCTTCCACTTTACATAGTATTGCCTTCTAGATGAAGATCCGCGGTGTCCGACGACCGCTTCAACTTCGTGTTCTTCTTCGCCGTCAATCAAATCAGGTGGAGGCGGAATATAATTAGGGCCGTGGGTCTCGTTCTCTTTATAAGGAGAAAGGAGTGCGGCATGGAATACTGGGTGAATGCGCCATTGTGACGGTAGCGCGAGTCGATAAGTTATGGGAGATAATACGTCGGTAATGATGAATGGTCCTTCGCGTTTTGGCGCGAGTTTTCGATTAGGGTATCCGAGGTGGAGGTTTTTGGCTTCGAGCCATACCTTATCGCCTGTAGAGAATGGTACGAATTTAGACGTAATTCGTTGACGCATGGTGTTGCGTGCGAGTTCATGAGCGGCTAGTGCTTCGTCGCGTGCTTTATTTAGCAATGATAGTCGTTGTTCTATATTAGGGATGTCGGATTTCGGATGGGAGTCAGGGAGGT